CATTGTTTTCTTTAATCCTTCCAGGCAAACACAGGGCTAGGCCTCTATTAGGCTACTTACCTACCTTCTAACCTCCATGCCTAAAGAATGCCTACCTACCCACCCACCAACCTACCTACCTATCTATGGCTCTACAAGTCTATGTACTTTGGCCGCTTTTTCAGTTTCTGGATCCTATACACAGTCGGGCAGGAGTGTATTTTTAAAACACGTATAAACTTGCTTTGCCATCATACTATATATAATTTGAGGACCCAATATTGTTCTGGCTATCTTATAAAACGTGAAATTATACTTTCTTGATAATTTAGTCTCGTTGACTGTAGTTAATAATTTAAGTTCATCATTTATATTTCATAATTACGAGCAATTTAAAAGCATAACGTGCAATCACAGCCTTCGGAAAAGCTATATACCGCCAGTATTTATTCTAATGTATTCTAATACCGGACTTTTATTTCCGTAACTCTTTCTGTGTTTAAGTAAATTACCTGCTACAAAACCATTTTCGTGTTAATCAATAATGCACAAATAATTTTTCGAATACTAGAACACTTACGAAGAGCATGCGTCTCTTACAGCACTGTTTAGAATGAGAGGGGACAACTTTGAGTAATCGGTCGAAATGCGAGTTGGCAACGCTGTAGTGGAACTATCATAGTGAGCAACAGACAGCTTGTGCAGGATCGTTTGAACCAAAGGATGGTTTTCTTTCGCCACTTGTCTCAGTTGGAACATTAATTCAGGGGTGAACAACGGTCTTCTCTACACTTTTCAACATTTTTTTTTCCTCACTGGACCCGCGTCGTATTATTGAGCTGGTAAGATTTAAACAAAATATTGTCACGTGTATTAGTGACTATAGACGGGTTTGGATTGGTGGATAGATTTACTGACCATTTACAGGTCTGTACTACCAATAATTATTACACTACTGCTGACTTACGCGTTCCAAATCAATCCACACTAACTTTTCTAAGTCTGCTTTCACTAGTCGTTGCTTAGTAACAGGTCTCAACGGTGGCTATTCCTCTGCAAAGTTTTCACTAGGTGTTTCCTGGTAACGAATCTTAGTGTGGAGATTCATCAGCTTCCGTTAGACCGTCTCTGTGGTACAGTGGTCAGAGTTTCTCTCTACAGAGCCAGAGGTCCGGATTCGATTCCCGGCGCTACCAGATTTTCTGAAAAGTAGTGGGTATGGCACGAGGTACACTCAGCCTCGTGAGGATAATTGAGGAGCTACTTGAAGGAAATAGCGGCTCCGGTCTAGAAAACTGAAATTAACGGCCGTGGGGATTCGTTGAGCTGACCACGCGATATCCTCTATCCGCTAAAGTTGGTACTAACTTTGCCGACTTTGTTTGTTCCGTTTCCGCTGGTTAAAACTCCACAGCGGAACACTCAACTAAACTCAATTACCGAAACAACCCCCAATTATTGCTAGCCTCTCGCTATATAGACTCGGGTCGAACCTCACAGAAAACACGTGTCACATGTCAGGATACATGCCTATTGGTCCGTTACCCAGCACTGGGCATGACGCAGACTACATAGAAAACACTTCTTCCAATGTCTTTTCTACTGTTGCATGAATCGAACTGCATACAGCCGATCCTGCTTCAGGCGGTAACAGTAGATCAACCGGTCAAGAAGCTCGTCTTTTATGGAATCCGAAGGTTCATTACCGTGTTTACAGAATTTCTCTAATAGTTGCAGATGACAGACTAATCTGTTTAACTTCAAGAATTTATGTCACTTCGACAATTGATTCCTCTGGGATTTCCCTTGTTGCCCCACAGGACAAATATATCTAATAGTTACTCATACCCTCACATGCCTTTTTTTTTTTTCGTATTCGAGACGGCCTCGAACTTGGATCTTCTGACTCAATGTATGTACAGAGTGTTTCATGGCTTTAGGTCATAATTTCAGGAAGCTATTTATGAGGCTATTCTAAGTGAAGAATGTTATAAACATGAGCACGATTCTCAAAGGTTACCGGGCTAAGTGTATAGGAAGTTAAGTTGATTTCAATATGACAGACATGTTTGTTGTAATAAGAAACGTTACGTGATAGTTGTACTCTTACTTCATTTTACATACTTTGGGCTTTCAGTGCAGCAAGAAATATCCAAAACGATCGCCCTCAGTTTCACGCGACGCAGTACTTCAATCAGCACTTTTCCTGTAGCCGAACTGATCGAGGGAGCCGAGAGAATTGGCCACTGCGATCACCAGACCTCATCCTCCGTGGGGCTACATGAAAGATCTTGTTTGATACGACAGGGTGTACTATATATACAGGCATTAAGGGTTGTTTCTTTTAAAATATACGTAAACATCTTACTCGAAATATCTTTTACTTTCCCTACCCATAGCCCTGTACCCTTTAAGAATGGTGTCCCATTTGATGTAGTATTCATCATTCAGAATGACCTTAGAAATAACTTCCTGAAGCTAAGACATAACGCCGTGTTTGCCCCAAAATTGACAGCGGCCCCACTGACAGCAATTTAGATATTTTCTTATGACCTTAGCGAACTACAGCAGCCAATCTGATGCATATAAATACAAGGGCTGAGATGTTTCTGTCTCACTGATTAGTATTGTTGCGTGTTGCCTAGGTACTGCGGCAAGAAATGTATGTGTTTTATTTCGAATTAGACGAATCCGTTTATTGGACAATCACTTTTTACACTCACGATCACAACCACCCGCACTTATAATTCCTTCAGACGTTTCCTCTTCTAAGTTTATACCGCACCTCTAATCTCGGTGAATCTTCTTGCCTCCTCATTCGTCTCTTATTCTTTGTCGGATCTGAACTCTCTTCTCAGATCTCGTCGAATCTGAATTGTCCTTAGCTCTCGACGAAGCTGATCTGACTTTGCTCTCGTCGGATATGAATTGACTTGGTCCTCTGAATTATTCTTCGCTTATATCCTACGCTCGGATCGGATAGAGAACACCTTGTCGAAAGGTTCAGTTTCGCTGCTGTCACGCAAACAACTCTCTCGTTGCTAGGGGAATACATGTCTGCCTCAAACAATTCGTTACTTAGATATTGCTAGTCTCTTTGTAATTGTGGAATCCCCACTCGTAGGTTTTCGTGTTATTTAAGCGACTTCCTAGGCAACGGGCTGCTTATACTACTTTGCCTAGGAACTGCCAGCTGTTGACCAGTGATGGACGTCTTATCGGCCGGCCTTCCTGGCGGCACGTCACAGTATTTAATACGAGTACTTATTTTAATGTAAGTGAAAATATTCTGGCATTAATGGAATTGAAATCCAATAGTATCAACTGATTAAAAGCACGTGTAAGAGACAATATTGAAAAAGGCGGTTACGATCCTTTGAAAGAGGTCAGGCACCATCAGATTTCTCCTGAATGTGAGTCTAAATGTAAACGTACGTCCTCTGCGTCACAGGCATTTTAATGTGCTGTCGCGAGTGGACGTTTCTTTATTTTTACAAAGACTTGACATCATCATAATTCAACACGTTGTATTAGGAATGTAAATATATCCTAGAAATAAAAAGAGTGGATATGTGGAATTTACATATTTAAGAAGAGGGCGTGTAAAGAAGATGTCGTTGCTTGTTTCAAAGAACTATTCTGGTGTTTGACTGGAGGGAGTGCATAAAACCACGAGAAAACTCTTGGGATTACCCATTTCCACATCTGAAATTCATACCAGTGTGAAATTGCTGGACTAGGCCTATTGATTGTGAGTCAAACTTGCTTTCGTTAAATAGATATTGTTTTTATTACAGCGATCATATTTTAACCACAATTTTAATCGATCCCTCTCTAATTTTTCATATGCAATTATGGGTGTCTGCTTTTTAATTTAATCTAGATATTTGGCAGCACATTTCAAGGAAATAGCGGCTCCGGCCTAGAAAACCGAAATTAACGACCCTTGGGATTCGTTGCACTGACAACGCGACAGTCTCCATCCGCTAAGGTTGGCACTAACTTCGCCGAAAAGCGGCGGTCGCTCAGTCGCTATAGTTCGCTTATTGGGGGTGGAGTCCAACTGGGTCCACTCGGCACGGCGGCCACTGATTGGCCTATTGTAGCCTGCCCCGGGTGATTATGATGATGGAGAATTTTGTGGAATGAAGATTGACAGGGAAACCGAAGTATTTGGAGAAAACCCGCCCCAACGCCACTTTGACTACCCACAAATCCCACTTGACCAGACCCCGGGATCGAAGGGCCGCCGCTGTGGAAAGCCAGCGACTAACCGCTTGAGCTAGGGCGCGGCCTCGCTTGTGGACTAAAATCAGGGAGTTTTTTTTTTATTTTTTATTTTTTAACTATTTAGCAGCACTCTTTGGTTCGAGAATTTTCCCTTCGAAAGTAAAATTTTATTACCAATATTCATGCAAATCGTCCAGTTGTCCCGAAGATACTATCAGGACAAACAGAGAAGTAACACTGGCCTATAATGCTGTTTATCCTCCCTGAAGCTTATCTACAAAATTTAAATTTACAGTCGTTTCGCCTGGGTAAAATTACTTTGAGCTTAATGGTAAAGGAAGTATCAGCCAGCATCCTGCCATTTCAATCTACAGACATTCAAGTAACGCATATTACGTGTATATGGGCCACAGCATAGCTCAAGCGGTTAGTCGCTGGCTTCCCACCGCGGCGGCCCGGGTTCGATCCTGGATCTGGTTAAGTGGGATTTGTGGTGGACAAAGTGGCGCTGGAGCAGGTTTTCTCCGAGTACTTCGGTTTCCCCTGCCAATCTTCATTCCACCAATTGCTCCACAATCACCCTCACCTATCATCTGGGGCTGGTACAATAGGCCAGAAGTGGCCGCAGTACAACTGACTTAGTCCCACCCCACTAGCAATAAAAAAAAAGACGCATATTATACGCATGTACTCAATTATACACCACTGAGGACTTCCGGATAGGCCCTGTAGCGAGCATGTCTTCTATATTGTGTTCGGAAATAATTCTGACGTATTGAGCCGAAGCGATTATAGGACACCGGACGTTTCGTACAGGTCCTGCGTGATTGTTACTGACAGAGTTCTTATTATTATCATCGAATATTATCGATAAAATTGTGACAAATTGTGTTGTTCCATTACTTACTGTGTGTCTTGTTGTCTGTTATATGGAAAGCATTGTAGTCCTAAGACATAATATGAAGTTGGTTTAGTAGTACATTCAATGTGGAACAGCTAGCTTATGTTCTGCCGTCAGACTGAATTGTATGATAAGCAGCTATTGCACGTAAGGTAAGCAACAGATAAACTGACATTATGTACACATAGTCAGGTTGGAAAGACATGGTTTAGTTCACCAGTTAAATTATCACTAGTCAAGTACCGGATATCGCATATCTGTAGTACGGAATACGCTTTTGCTTGTCTACAGTGTCTTTGCGCATGAGCCAGTAGACTAGCGGATTCGTTTATTATAGGCTTGTATGGGGGGGGGAGCAGGGCCATTTAGCCCAGGCTTCTAGTCTAGGGCCCCCGAAATATATTTTTATTCAATTATAAAATTGTAATAAATAAGCAAGAATGTGGGAAATCAGTTAAATGGAATTGTTGGCTTATTCTTGGCCTTCCGAGGCATTTTCACAAATATCATTAGCATTAGAAGTTATAACTCCTCGTAATCATCTTCATATTTACTCTTAAGAACCAAAAATAAGCCCCCCCCCTTTTCCTAAAAAAATTAGTGTTTGGAAAAGAAACTCGTTTCATATTCGGGCTAATACGATATTGTTGCTATATATCACATAAAATTATGTTTTGGGCATATTTTGGGATTTTCTCCATAAAATCTTGCCCTTTTATTACATTCTAGATAAACTGGTTGGATTTGGTAAATTTAAATTAATTTTGTATATGGATAGTGGCTTTAAACGTCTTCGGAACTCAGTGACAGGTCAAGGAGGATGGGTACGTAGGTTAGGTTACAGCAATGCGAATGAGACAGACAGGCTACTCCACAATATGAAAATAAACACCTACATACAGCCTTATGAGGATAAGAACATTTGATCAGTGACCATTAATGCATTATGGCCTTATTCGCTGCTCTTCTCTACTGGGTCTACAAGTTTTTGAGTTTCAAGCCGTATTTTAAGCAATGCGCTCCTAGGTCCTAACATGTGGCGTGTCTTATGATTTATATTTATATACCGGTATTTATGTGTTTTAAAGTTCCTTTTATGAATGATGTAGTATTATTCCTTCTTTATTTTTCAGTTGTTTATATATAAGAACCATTTAGTCAACACACTATATATTGATATTTATGCACGGAACTATTTAGTTAAATTATTTTATGAAAGTGACGTATTATCGCTTCTTGCTGCTGAAATAGTAGTGTGCTGCATTTGTTAACTTCTTCTTTCAAAAAACTGATTAGGGGAGCAGGGTCATTGATCTGTAGTTGTGTATTTAATGGCATTAATTGCGAATTTCCATTAGCTACCGAGATACCATATTTACATCAACCTTTTCTATTTAAAAATTTATTCAAACACACAGTTTTGACAGTATGTTGTCCCTAAGTTCATCCAACATTTCTCCAGCTCAGAGATGTGATCTTTTTTATTGTTAGTGGGGTGGGACTAAGTCCCTTGTACTGCGGCCACTTCTGGCCTACTGTACCAGCCCCAGATGATAGGTAAGGGTGATTGTGGAGCAATTGGTGGAATGAAGATTGGCAAGGGAAATCGAAGTACTTGGATAAAACCTGCCCCAGCACCACTTTATCCACAACAAATCCCACTTGACCAGACCCGGGATCCAGAGATGTGTTAGTACACCCAGTATTTCTGTCTGCCACTTCAAGTGGCCTTATAATGTCAAAGATCTTTCTAATTCTATTGCTTCCAGTTAAAACCCTCATTACCGTTAGCAGCCATAAGGACATATTTCAGATCTTCTGATACTGAATATGTGTTCTGCCCCATTTATGTCACACAGTTCGAAGCCAGGACTGACTATGAAGGTTCCACTGCACGTCGGCCCACCAAGCTGTGATCAGCTGCAGGGTCTTGTCAGTGTTGTTCTTCGCAACTGCTGGGTTTATATTCAGTTGCTGTCATCCTTAAAACCAAACAAATGTTCAAACATATTAATACATTATTACTTTAGCTCTGCAGCCCTTCTGTTGGACCTTGGTGGCTTCTTCAGCTTCTTAATCCTATACACAGTTGGTATGAATACTTGGGCGGGGTATCAGTCCGTCGCAAGGCCTCTCCCTACATACAGAACACAGATACAGAATTCAGACCTCCATTCGAACTCACGATCCCAGCGTTCGAGCGAGCGAAGACAGCTCATACCTTGTACCGTGCGGTCACTGTAATCGGTACATGTTAAGACATAACCCTTTGAAATATCTTTTTTATGTTAGACATTTCTCTCGGTTGCATCCCATAGCATATAAGTAAAATTAGGATTAAATTCTATCAAATACAACAATGTTTTAATAATAAAATAAAGCTTTTACATGTTTCGGCCAGTGATGGCCATCATCAGAAGGCGACCAACACTTCAAAGGAAATCATCATCATTGGCCGAAACGTGTAAGGGATTTATTTTATTATTAAAAAACATTGTCATGTTTGATAGAATTTAATCATAATTCTACTTTTATCATTCTTTTTGTATTGAAAAATTCAGTTCAAAGAATTTCTTCATTGTGAAAATGCAAAAAGAAATTTATATTTGAACTCAAATTAAATTTTAAGACCCTACTCATAATATTTAACTGTCCTCTGACAAATAATCTATAGACCCGACTCCCCCAGAAATTATATCCTGTATTCGCTCCCTGGACCCTTTATTTGTATTACTGTTGGCGACCAGCCCGTGTCTTGCTCACGGCAATAGGACGTTCGTAAAATCTGTTTCTGACAGGAAGTGAGCTGTCGACCACATTATGATTGATTATATATTTCAAGCTTTCACCTGAGAGAATTTTGTTAATGTGATTTCGAAAGCCTTTTGCGATTTCTGCGCCAGGTGTGTGTCGAATCATCTGGTATCTTCGGTAACTGGTAACAGATGTCAGTCCCCGTTCTTCATAAGGTTGCTGCGTTGCACAGATGTCTGTTTTGCCGTTTTAATGGCAGAAATAATCAGCACTGTACTGTTACGTTTTGTAGGTGTTATGAGCAGTTTCCATTGGGTGATTTTAATTCTTTTCGTGAAATCTGATTCATTGAATTTATAAGCAAGGTACTGTCTGGAGGTTGTAGCCTATTTGCTTGAAAGATGACTAACAGTAAATCACACACAGAGAAGTGTTATCCCAATTTAAAAGAATGACAGTAAAATGAGTTCTCAGAAATTACGCGAAAGGGTACTCTATCAGAACACACATGCGAATATGTCTCTCTGAGACTGCATTGCTGGTAAAGCTAAAGTTAAGCACTACGCCATGAAGACGTATGGGGGAGTGGGTGCATAGAACCATGTTTTCTTGACTTTGGCACTAGTTGGAGGTGAGTGGTCAGCTTCACCCACCGGTCGCTTTACCCCCGAGGGAAATAGCCTCCGGTACCCATTGGTGGGCTTCAGAGCCGGTCTGGACGACATGAAGAATAGAGAATTGTGTCAAAATTGTCCCTGTGTTTAATAAATTAAGGACTGTACCATGAAGACACATGGTGAATGCAGACATAGGTACACCATTCTTGACCTTACGCCCCTGGCGCTTTACACCAGGTGAGAGAGAGCCCGGTAACCATTGGACGGCAGACTGGGTGGGCCCCAGAGCCGGTCTGTACACTGTGGAGAAGAGAAAGTCTTGCCCCTACCGGGAATCGAACCCCGGCCGTCTAGCCCGTATTCCTTTGCTATACCGAATGTATTATCCACATAGTTAGTACATCCAGATAATAGAGTTTAAATTTATAAACGAAATACTTGGCCTTCTTTTAAGTGAGTTTCTGCTTCTTATGTTCTGATACATACTTGCTGTTTCCGGTTTACAGGTAACATTAGTTTTCAGCTTGTCATTTTAAATGTCAACAAAATGCAGATGAGAGTAAGGAGGAATTGGAATACAGTACGCTAGTCGAAACCACTCCAGGTCTGCTGATAATCAAATTCCGGATGCCTGTGGCATTTGCAGGAACTCCTTAATATAGACAGCTGAAATACTGTCAAACGTCATCCATTCAATATGTCAATACATCCTGACATGCTTAGATGAAAGTCGAAATGATCGACACCTCCATTATCGACCAGAGAGAAAATAAACACTGAATGATAGATGAACAAGCCACTTTTGAAGATAAGATACCGAGCTATGAATTGTTAGGGTACTGCGGCATGCAGGGGTTCACAAGCGGTCATGCAGTTCGAAGAGTTACGTGACACCTTTATAAAATAATATTGAAGGAGATATGAAAAGAATACAATGTACGTACTAGCTACTTGTAACTTTTCTGTCTGAAATCAAGAGCAACAGTTATCGTGGATGAGGTTTTACGTGGCTTTCTTCAGCCTCTCCATAAAACTGTGATTGGTGCCTAAGAACAGCCACGACGTTTCCTGTCCAGTCTTATCTGATTAATTATTTATAATTTCTTAATATCCGTAGTGCCACGAGGGACGTGGCGCTGTTTGTAACGTTATCGCAATATTCTATAAAGAGAAGAAAAATTTCGTTTAATTTCCGCGGAACATAACACACCCAAAGTCAATTTGTGTGAACAAGACGATGTACAAAGTCCACATGGGTCGACCAACCTGATTGGAATATGTTCCTTAAAACGTCCTCATTTTCTGCGATTCCCTAATAAAATGTTATTCCATCTTGAAGAAAGTAACTGCATAGTTTTTCATATTATGTGTATAGCAATTGCTAGGCAACGACCCGGTAAACACGTTCCCGCGGTAAACAGGCATCAACGATAGGGAGGTTGTTTCTTACGTGGTCCACGCCGCGACCGTTGCAATGCAATGATGCGATAAACAGTTCTAAAATAATACGGGACAATAGAAGACGGCGTTTTCCGTGGGGTCAGTGTAAAATGGTTACAAAGAAGAATTCAACTGAGTATAAGAGAGTGACGAGTGGAGCTCCGAGATGCCAGCCTGCAGGGATATGAGTTTGTGAGCAGAGGAATTGAATTGAATTAAATTGAATTGAATTGAGTCGTCAAAAAACGTCGGAAAGGAATTAGACTATGCAAAGAAGACTTCATATGTGATTTGAAATAACAGTGAGACTGTGACAAATCCGTTGCCAGGATACTTCTAGT